ATCTTCAGGTAGAGATAGTGGCGGAATTCGACTAACTTCAACATCAATACCATCAAAGACGAAGATTAAGTCAAGGAGACGACCAATATGACCAGTTAACTTGCAGCAAGGATAGTTCAACAAGACCATCAACAAAGTCATGGCAGGTAGTACATATGTCGGAGCCAGCCGGATCGGACCACTATATCTTAAGGCTCCCATAGGAATATTCAAACATATATAAGAAAATTCATTGTTACTTTGTAGGAAGTAGGCGTTTTAATTCCTGACTACTTAAAAACAAAATTCAAAAATAGAAACGCTGAATCTGGAATCCCTGGAACTGCACCGAGTGAGTATTACTTTATCTGCAAGGGTATATAAGCTTCGGCTGGCCGAAGGTAGCTTCCTTTCTTGTTTTTACTTATTATTATTTTTATTAAATTCATTTTACAACTGAAAAAAACTTCCAACCCATTTGCACCCGTGGGACTCGAACCGGGGTCCTCTCGCTTCAAGGGCAGACACCTTACCAGTCACACCATCAGACTCTGTTAAGTACATGTGTCTAAGCGATCTCTGATATACAAGTGTATACGAAAAAAAATTATTTTTAAAATTATTAATTAGATAAAAAATTATTAAAATTATTAATAATAATATTAAATGTGAACGGCGCACTCTCTCACTTCACTAACATCTCATATGGGAAAACATTAAAACATTTATTTACGACTATTTTTTTTAAAGAATGGTCAATGTAGTTCGGTTTATCTTAAAAAAAATTTTAGTGATATTGTTATACCCTTGTAGAGGGTATTATAATTTCAGTCAGATGTTTGCAACGCAGTGAAGGAGACGTTTCCGACCACATAAAGTATATATATTCTTGATCAGCACCAATAGCCGAGTCTATCTAGCCATGTCCGTCTGTCCGTCTGTCCGTCTGTCCGTTTCTATGCGAACTAGTCTCTCAGTTTTAAAGCTATCGCGATGAAACTTTCCCGAAAGCCTTCTTTCTATTGCAGGTAGTACATATGTCGGAGCCAGCCGGATCGGACCACTATATCTTAAGGCTCCCAAACAAATATAAGAAAATTCATTGTAACTTTGTAGGAAGTAGGCGTTTTGATTCTTGACTACTTAAAAACAAAATTGAAATAAATCGAAACGCTGAATCTGGAATCCCTGGAACTGCACCGAGTGAGTATTCTTTTATCTACAAGGGTATATAAGCTTCGGCTGGCCGAAGGTAGCTTCCTTTCTTGTTTTTTGTTTGTGTTTGTATGTGTTTTTTGTAAAATGGTGCAATTTAGAGCGTCTTTAATTGCATATTATTTTCTTTTTAGGGACACTTTTCCTAAAAACACATTAAAGCCAAATCATCAAACTTGGTGCTAATCATACATTAAGTAATTACCAAATGATTACTGTATGGAAAAAAAAATGTATAGTTTTATACGGTTTCGCAATATAAAAAATCATTACCAATTTTTCTTTACTTTTCGGCAAAAAAATTAAATTAAAATTAAGAAACATTTTCTTGAAAAAATAAAAATAAATACATATATTATTGCTTATAGACCATTTATACCCGTTACTCGTAGAGTAAAAGGGTATATTGTATTCGTGCAAAAGTATGTAACAGGGAGAAGGAAGCGTTTCCGACCCTATATATATATTCCTGATCAGGGTCACTAGCCGAGTCGATATAGCCATGTCCGTCTGTCCGTCCGTCTGTCCGTCCGTCTGTCCGTCCGTCTGTCCGTCCGTCCGTCTGTCCGTCCGTATGAACGCTGAGATCTCGGAAACTACAAAAGCTAGAAGGTTGAGATTTTCAAAAACACTTATTCTTGGGCTTCCTACGCAGCGCACGTTTATTTCAGCCGAGCGCCACGCCCCCTCTAACGCCCACAATCGCCCACTAACAATTTTAAAATGTGTCTGGCGCCCACACCTTTAAAGATTTCCGAGAAGTATAAATGCAATTTTGTTGTGTATAAATTCACCTATCGAAATGTAGAAGATAGTTTTCAAATCGGACCATACATTAAAAAGTTACGCGCAATCAAAATTGTATATATCAATCTCCCTCGCCATCCCTTTAGCTGAGTGACGGGTATTATATAGTCGGGAAAACAACCCGGCTATAGCGTTCTTTCTTGTTTTTTTTAAATATACTCATATATGGGTATCATTTTGATAAGTACCCAGATCGTAATTTCTCTCCGAATAATAAAAAATTATTTGTTTTTATTTTTTGTTTTTTAAAAAATTTTTTGTGTTGTTTCTGGGCATGTGCTTTTAATTCCTTAAAATTTATGGCCTTAATTTGAACATTTATGGCCATTTTTTACTATTTTTAAGTCCACAACGGCCTTAAATCACCATTTTAGGCAATGTTGTCCATGTTTCCTTAAATCCAGGAATTTTTTGATCTACTGATCTGCTTCTGGGTTTACATTTGATTAGGTATTTCAGGGGTATTTTAATTCATTTGGTTTGAGGTTTGTTTATTGCTGGTAAAACTATCCCTAGCCAAGGTTACAGGGCTATTCTACAATATATAAGTGTGGATGTAGAAAATATGTAAAATATATAAAATAAAATTTTCAGCGGTGGTGTTGCGGCGGGATCTGGATGCTGCTGCAGATTCGGTTGGTTTGTTGGTTGTGTGAAGGTTTGGAATTTTCTTCCTGTTGGCCTTTCTTCCACTCACTTCTTCAGCCCAAGCTTGGCTGTTAGTGCACTCTGGGTTACGTAACTGCCACCTGAAACATTAAGGCGTTCTGACACCGTTTCTTCACTTCCCCTCCAAAAAAAGAAACTTACCCACTAGGGGTTGGCACTTTAGCACTTTTATATACAAGTTGAAACATCACTTGCCGGTGATTTTGGTATTTTGGAAAATTTTAGAATTTTTCCTTTGGCTCTTATAACTTAATTGCTCACTGCACTTGAAACTTCCTCGACAGGTAATTTTGGTGTGTTCCTACCGAAACTAAACTTCGGGTCGGGACCCTGTGTCCGACCTGTCGCTCAAGCCTATTCACCAATTTGGTGAAGTTTGAGAATTCTGGCTCAAGAGACTATCTTTATGCAAAACCAAACTCTGTTGCCTACTTTTGGGCCGAAACATTTTCAAGCCAAACGACAAGCAATCCTACAAGACGTTTCCGACCACATTAAGTATATATATTATTGATCAGCATCAATAGCCGAGTCCATCTAGCCATGTCTGTCTGTCCGTTTCTATGCGATATAGTCTCTCAGTTTTAAAGCTATCGCAAGGAATCTTTCCCAAAAGTCTTCTTTCTTTTGCAGGTAGTACATATGTCGGAACGATCCGGATCGGACCACTTTATCTTATGGATCATAGGAATAATAAAAAAAAATAATAAAAACAAGCAAGATTCCCCCTGCACCCCCTTTAAACTTGGCCCCCTTCAAGACAGTGGCTGCGGCTGCAGCTTTGGGGTCAGCCACATTGCGTATGAGTAATTTTTGTCGGCAATGGGAGTCCCGCTGCGAAAGTGAGTTTAACGGTAGTTTCGACCGCCTAACAATTCCATCACATTTGATTTGAATCGTGGCTTTTGTTGGCCAACTGCCGCCGATTTGGGCCACACACAACAAACAGGGAATAAAAGTGCTTTAATAGTGGAATACCCTTTTTTAAAGGAACAGTAAAATTCAGTTTGAGATAAAGTTGTATTTTACTTTAAAGCTTATTTCATAATTACATGTAATGCTGCTTAGTATACGTTATTATTTTCCTAAAAATGTATTATTTATGAAGTTAATAAAAGTTGTCAGTCATAAAAGACTTTGATTGAAAAAAAATATTAAAAATATTTTTCAGTTAAAATAGAAAATAAAACAATTTAACAGTTAACTGCAGTAAATTTTACAAGGCATGTCATGCTTTAATACATAAGCATTAATTCCTTAGTATTATGAGGATCAGATAATTTTAAGCAAATAACATTACCAACAAGAAAGGAAGCTATCTTCGGCCAGCCGAAGCTTATATACTTATCAGATAATATTAAGCAAATAACATTACCAACAAGAAAGGAAGCTAGCTTCGGCCAGCCGAAGCTTATATACCCTTGCAGATCATTCCTATTAACTTCCAAATCGCAAAAATGTTTAATTCGTATTATTTTGACATTATTTTTTCTATCCTTCTCAATGGCAGCTATATATTATTAAAAAAGTAGAAGAGAATACAATAAAAATGAACGGAGCTATAATTTGTTTTCAATGAATATTTCGATCGTTTCTATGGCAGCTATATGATATAGTCGTCTGATTTTGATAAAATTAAAATTAAAATTCGGAAATATTTAAAAAGAGTCATATCCTAAAGTAGAAGAGAATGCAATAAAAACCAAAGAAGCTAAAATTTATTTCCTATTACTTTCCCATTAATTTATCCGATCGTTTCTATGGCAGCTACATGATATAGTCGTCCGATTTTTTAAATATTTAATCCGAAATTCAGAAATATGTAAAAAATAAAATTTCCAAGAGTAGAAGGTAATATTTCAAATAACACCGAAGTTAGAATTTTTATACCCGTTACTCGTAGAGTTTTATTGAGTAATGCAACGTTGAGTATTCGTGCAGAAGTATGTAAAAGCTAGGAGGAAGCGTTTCCGGCCCCATAAAGTATATATATTCTTGATCAGGGTCACTAGCCGAGTCGATCTAGCCATGTCCGTCTGTCCGTCTGTATGAACGGTGAGATCTCGGAAACTACAAAAGCTAGAATGTTGGGATTACCCATACATATTCTTGGGCTTCCTACGCAGCGCAAGTTTATTTCAGCCGGGCGCCACGTCCCGGCCCACTATATATATTTTATATATATATCCATCTCCCTCGCAGTGCCTTAAGCTGAGTGATGGGTATTAGATAGTCGGGACACCAACCCGACTATAGCGTTCTATCTTGATTTAAGTTGGTTTGCTCTTGTTTTTTTAGTGTATGATTTCAGTATTGTAGCTATAACTTACCACATCAATAAGCTGCGAAAGTTTTAATTTGATGCAAACTTTTAGAACATCAGTAGTATTAACCACCGGTCTTACTAATTTGTTATAGTTGCTTAAAAGATCATCATATAATCGTTTTGCATCCGGGTTGCCAGCTACTGCACCGTGAACCATAAGAGCAGATAGAATCCAAGCTCTGAAGGTTTCTCCCGAAGACGGCTTCCTTACAAATAATCTCAATATTTCAATAATTAACTTCATAGCGAGATCTAAATAATATCTTCACACATAAATCATTTGTAATTAACAGATGTTTGAAACTTTTCTTTATGGATTCCTGAAAAGAAATGAAGACAAAATATTAGGCAATTTAATTTGATTGTAGACAAAGAAGAATGTTTTGCTCAGTGTGAAACAGCAGTTGCCAAACATACATATGCTAATTTCACGGTCTCCCAGTTGTAGGTTCAGCTCACTAAGTTGCAAGTTTATTATGACACTGATAATTGCTTGGACTGCTAGTTTACATAAAAGGAAAGAAGGAACTCAATAGTCAAGTACCTCGACAATCAGATACCAATTATTCTTTTAGGCCATTTAAAAGTAACTTTAATTGCTCAATGTTTCGACTTGAACCACTTTTAAAGGTGAGCTGATGAACGATTCGTTTTTTAAATGTAGCTTTTCCAAAACTTTATATTTTTCAAAAATGTAATATTTGTTTTAGTACGATTCAACATTCCAACCGAGCTAAATCCTACAGTTTTTGGCGTGAACCAATCATTTTTTGCACTTTCCAAAGTTGTAGGGTAAGGTGACAAATAACACTATGCAACATCTTAAATTTACCTCGATGGATGCTATATTTTTGAATTCGTTATGAATTCCCAAGATAAACTGCGCTTTCCAAAAAGTTCCCCGACGCAAGGATTTTTAGTAAAAGGACCTCAAAGTTCGAAAAATGCTGAAATTGGCCAACTTTTTGAAAGTCTCAGAGGCACTCATAGTTTGTTTTGATGTTCAAGTTTTTTAAAAAAATATACTCTTTTTTCTGTCAAATCCCATACTTAGGGATTTTAGGATTTTTTAAATGGAGAAACAAATTCTAGAAAACATAGTCAAAAAACATAAAAGTATACAGCAGCGATCAAAATAGTAGTGTGCTTTTATGTATGCTCGTGTGCAGACCCAAATTTCTTGATGCTTTCAAATCTTTTGAGTTTATTTGACCACATTTACATTTCTTATAGTCTGAAACGTTTTAAGTTAGCTTTACATATCCTACATATGTATGTACTTCACATATGCATGATTGGAATCAAAAGATGTCATGTCATTCCATTGGAATAGAATAGAGTTGAGTAAGTGCTCAGCACGCTATGACTAGAATGGATTGAATCTTGGTCCGTATAGAGTATGACAGCAATGGCCTAGAGTTAAACGAGTAATAACGAAAAACACAATGTCATATTTGAATACGCTGAAATGATTCGAGTTATTCGAATCCTTTCGATTTTGTTATATGACGTCGTATGGGCAAAATAAATTAAATTTGTTTTGGTATTGTATCAGGATGTTCTTTTAATTATTCCACAAGTTCTTTATTTTGTCTTTGTAACTGAACTGACTCATTGCTCGCAGGCAACTCCATTTCAACCCCCGTTTTAGGCTCTCTCGAGGAGATCCGCTCTCACAATATCGATTAGTGTGACCAGAGTAGATTAATGCAATCTGCCCTGTTCATATAAACTTGTGTATAACAACATTAATATTAAAACAAAAGCTAGCATTTATATAAAGTACAATAATACAAACAGCATGTTACATAGTGTACTATATTACACCTAGCCTGTTACAACTCGGCCGTCCTGACTTTGAGATATCCCACTATCTCTGACATGTTATGTTATAATTTACATTGTTTTTTGCAGGGACCGTAAATAATCATTATTTGAGATTTTTATTTTAAAAGGCCTACTGAGGTTTGTGCATATTTTAATCAACAATTTAACTGGTTTTTATGCACTTTATAGACTTGAACAAATAACAGTTAATTTGCTTTCCAGATTTGTTGAAATACATATACTTTGTGGACAAGAGTAAAAAGAACGTTATTTTTGACGTTTAAAACAAAATATAACAGTAGTCTTTTTAAAATAAAAATCTCAAATAATGATTACACCAGTTTACAAAATGAAATCGACCTCTTCCTCATCGAAGACAACCTTAATTTTCCGGTTAAGTACATCTCCCTGATTAAGAAATGGGCACTTAAAATTTTTTGTATGGTGTCAATTTTTTTTTAAGTGTATAAAACATTTTTTGCCACTTTTTATTTTCTATCTTGAGTTTTGATAACCTGATTTGGGTCATATTATACTCAATTTACAGGTAATAGAATGTTCTTTAACTTTCCCATACACAGCATTGAGTTCCAGTCATTAGTTTAGAAGCTGCACCTCGTCAAAGCTGAAAAAGTTGGAAAAAATGCAAAAAAGGTGACATAAATGGCATTTTTAAAAATACACGCATAAAACCCGAAATTATTTTTATAACTTCTACTTAAAGATACATCTTTAAGCAAACTAACAAGACCATCAACTCAATAAACAACCAAAGGTTCGATTTTATATAGATTATTTCAGTTGGAAAAAAGGTGTATTACAGCCCTGTTAGAGCCCTGTTAACATCAGTTAACAACTGTAAACGGCCAAAAAACCACCGTTCTTCCAAGCTTAAAAAATGCGTGTATTTTTTAAGATTTATGCCATTTATGCCAGCTTTTTTGCATTTTTTCACAATTTTTCACACTTTTTCAGCCTCGACGAAGTGTACCTCCTAAACTAATGACTGGAACTCAATGCTGTGTATAGGAACGTTAAAGAACATTCTATTACCTGTAAATTGAGTATAATATGACCCAAATCAGGTTATCAAAACTCAAGATAGAAAATAAAAAGAGGCAAAAAACGTTTTCTACACTTAAAAAAAATTGACACCATACAAAAAATTTTAAATGCCCATTTCTTAATCAGGGAGATGTACTTAACCGGAAAATTAAGGTTGTCTTCGATGAGGAAGAGGTCGATTTTATTTTGTTAACTGGTGTTATTTACGGTACTTGGTTTTTATACCCGTTACTCGTAGAGTAAAAGGGTATATTGTATTCGTGCAAAAGTATGTAACAGGGAGAAGGAAGCGTTTCCGACCCCATAAAGTATATATATTCTTGATCAGGATCACTAGCCGAGTCGATCTAGCCATGTCCGTCTGTCCGTCTGTCTGTCCGTCTGTCCGTCTGTCCGTCTGTCTGTCTGTATGAACGCTGAGATCTCGGAAACTATAAAAGCTAGAAGATTGGCATTTTGCATGCAGATTTTAGAAGTTCCTACGCAGCGCAAGTTTGTTTCAAAATGGTGCCACGCTTTAATATTTTGGAAAAGTAAAAATGCAGTTTTATTGTGTTTATCAATACCTACCTTCGTTAAAAAGTTATGCGTGATCAAAGTTTTCAATCTATATCTCCATCTCCCTCGCACTCCCTTTACCTGAGTAACGGGTATCTGATAGTCGGGGCACCCGACTATAACGTTCTCTCTTGTTTGTTTTATATTGCTTACCATCTATACATATATACAATTCATTTTTATATTCTATTCTTATTCTTTCACACTCCACACACCTTGATAGGGATTTCGAGATAACTGAAACCCATCAATATCTTTAAGCAAATATCTGTCATTCCTTAAGACTTTGTCAATCACATAAAGACCCTTATTCTTTGGGATAAGTTTTCTTGCTACACCAGCCGTACTATCAAAGTTTTTAACCATCGCATAATCACCTTCTCTAAACTCGGTTGCGTGTTTTCTTTTTGCATTGTAATATGCTTCATTTCTGATTTGCGACTGTTCTTGGGCTCCCTCAGCTTCTTTCCTAATATCTCCTAACATTTTCCTAACCTCTACTTCACAACCATTCTCCTCTAATTTTTCCCTCAATTCATCACAAACTTCTCCCCTCTGAGTTATACCAAATAATGTTTCACTAGGCCGCTGCTTGATACTATTATGAATCGTATTATTTATTGAATATTCTACCTTTTCAATAACACTATCCCAATGTAAGCCCCTCTCTGGCTCCGCCAACTTCGCTATCATCGATCCTAAGTTTCTATTAATTCGCTCCACTTGTCCATTGGCCTGTGGCGACCCAGTCGCAATTTTGTTTAATGTTATTTTCCTCCATGAATGCAGCAAAATCTGCTGACGTAAAGCAACTTCCGCGATCTGAAATAATACATTTGGGCCTACTATACGCTCGAAAGTAATCTGTCAATGCATTTACTGCTTCTTTTGTACTTGTTGTTTTGCTCGTGTATAGCCTAACAAATTTTGTGAACGCATCTACAAAAGCTAATATATGTTTTTTCGACCTACTATTATCCACGGGTCCATAATGATCTATGTGAATGATTTCGAAAGGCCTATTGCCTTTTGGTATACTGTGCAATTGTCCCTCACATTTGCCTACTTTCGGAGAATATGCTATGCACTTCAAACAATTTTAAATATGATCTGAAAACTTATTTTTCATGCTCGGAAACCAATAACTCTTTCCAATTGCCTCTATCATTTTGTCCCATCCAATATGGCCCAATTCATCATGGTACTTGTATAGCACATGTTCCTCCATTCGATTTGGTACATAAAATAATATTCTGTTGTCGTTACTTTTCCTATATATCACCCCATTCCTCATTTCAAACCATTTATGCTCACTATTTTTTAATATTTTCCTGATTTCTCGTACTTTATCATCTTTCGACTGGCAAATTACTAAATTAGTCTCAAACGTGTTCGCCTCTATTACCATTATATTATTGCACCTACTCAGTGCATCTACGTGCTGCATTTGACTACCCGCCCTATGCTTTAAATCATAATCAAACTCCTGAAGCTCTAGAGCCCACCTTGCTATTCTCGGATTTAAGTCAATTTTATTAAGAGTTAACGTTAATGAGTTGCAGTCCGTTACAATTTGGAACCGCTTGCCCTGTAAATATATCCTAAATCTTCTTAATGCGTAAATAATGGCTAACGTCTCCAGCTCAAAGCTATGATATTTCGCTTCTGTTGTCGTTGATCTCTTTGAAAAGTAAAATATCGGATGTAACTTCTTGTCCGTCTTTCTTTGAAGAAGTACAGCCCCAAAACCTAGCGCACTGGCATCGCAGTGTAGCTCAATGTCATCTCTGTGATCGTAAATAGCTAGAACTGGCGCTTCCATTAATTTAGTTTTTAAAAGCGCAAAACAATTCAACTCTTCTTGCTCAAA